CTGATGCTGGGAGGGAGGGAAGGAGAGTGAGAGAGAACGACCGACTCTGAGAGGAGGAGGGGGGAAGAGTGATTGAGACTGACCGATGCGGAGAGGAGGAGGGGGGGAGGAGTGAGAGGCCCAGAAACTGCACACTGTGTGCTGTAATTTCATTTAATTAGAGAAATGCATTATAATAGGGAATATTACACTGTAATGTTCCCTATTATAATATATTTCTCTATCCCAGTGTTGGATAAAATTTTGCACTTTCTGTGACACAGCCACCATTAACCCCACACAGTCCTAAGTCCAGTGCGTTGCTCAGTCCAGTGCGTTGCTCAGTCCAGAGCATAAAAGCTCTGGCCTAAAGCTGTGTAAGGGGCCCCAAAATTTCTAATGGCTGCCCTGCCCGGCACCCACATATTCAGCCCTGGAGAGCCCCACATGCAGTCCTGGTGAGACACGAACGCAACCCTGAGGAGCCCGGCAAATGCCAGTACAGCCTTGGAGAGCACCACATGCAGCCCCGGTGAGACCCAAATGCAGCCCTGGTCAGACCTGCATGCAGCCGTGGTAACACCCAAACGCAGCCTTGGAGAGACCCACATGCAGTCCTGGTGACAGGTAAACGCAGCCCTGGTGAGACGCGAATGCAGCCCTGGTGAGACCTGCATGCAGCCCTGGGGATATGCGAACACAGCCCTGATGAGACAAGAATGCAGCCCTAGTGACACCCACATGCAGCCCTGGTGAAACCCAAACGCAGCCCTGGTGAGACCTGTATGGAGCCCTGGTGACACTCAAACACAGCCCTGGTGACACCTGTATGTAGCCCTGGTGAGACGTGAACGCAGTCCTGGTGAGACCCAAACACAGCACTGGTGAGACCCAAACGCACCACTGGTGAGACCTGCATGCAGACCTGGTGAGACCTGCATGCAGACCTGGTGAGAAGCTAACACAGCCCTGGTGAGACCTACATGCAGCCCTGGTGAGACACATACGCAGCCCTGGTGAGATTGCACACACCCCTCCATTGCTGTATTATCATAGATTGATGGGATCTGTAGTGTTCTATTGCTGCTTGCCATACTCCATTGCTGTATAACCATGGATTGAGACAGTTCTTCATAATTATAAAGAAACTGCCCTAAAATCATTAGCCTGAATTGGTTTAGAAAAAGTATCGGTAATTGGTATCGGCAAGTACCTGACGGAAGTACTTGTACTTGGTCTTGAAAAAATGGTATCAGTGCATCCCTACTGAATAGTATGAGTAGCTTGATTACATTAGAAGTCATTTGTATTATTTATGTTCTTTAGGCTAATGTTCAGAGTCAGCTACAGAACCAAACTTAAAGCAATGCCATAAAACAGAGTGAATAGCAAAAAAGACTTACCATCATTTGGAAATTCAATTTCTGTGGAAGAAACAGCCTGTACAGAACAAAATATACATTAAACACAATATACATTTCAGCACTAGATAACTGGAATCATAGTAATTACATTCAAGTGTAACAAGCTGGGGGAGGGACAAGACCCGTAAGTGTTACTTAACTGCAGCAGAGAGAAAAAAACAGGTCTCTGCTGTGTGGCAGAGCTGCAGAATTTTCAGGACCGGATAGATAGAAAAACAAATCCTTTGACAGGTAAAATAACTCTTGTATATGCATTTTATCTTCAGCTTTAAAGTGAAACTAATTTTAAAGCATAACTATGGGACAACCAAATATTGTGTATATACAGTGGGGATATGTATTCTTATTTGAATCTTGGTGTGTTTTGTATATTTTTCCCAGATATGTAATACAGTGTGACACCTTGCCTCTTCGCAGAAGTTTCCTATAATAAAGACCGGTCACTGCTGCTCTCTCTCCTTGCACATGTGAGTGGTCTTGTACCCACCCCCCTTCTTCAAGTTTTCAGCTGGCAGTCTGTAGTGAGTGGGCCGCTAGGGATGGAGCAGTGACTGACAACCTAGATTGGTCAAGGCTGGAGATGGGCACACTTGTAAGGTTAGTGTACCATAATGTGTAAATATGCAGTGCACCCATCACAACAGACTTTATTACTGGTTTGTGACAACCTGTTGGTGGCCTATAGAAATCCATTTGACCAACTTCTAAATTGCTCACCTGCTCATCAGCCCACACAGATAAACATACAGAATGCAGATGATTCCCAAAATAAGTAATGTTTACCCTAGCCTGTTAATCTGATTAGTTGTCTGCAATGAGCAGAAGGAAATAGGAAAATACTATAAATCGGGCCCAATGAAGTTCTCCTTGTGTACAGGCAGTGGCGTAACAATCGCCATAGCGACCCAGGCGGCCGCTATGGGGTCCGTGCACAGGGGGGCCCGGCAAGGCATCCCGCTGATGCCGTGTGGGTCGCCTGGGTCGCTATGGTGTCTCGGGTGCTGGCTGTCACTGACATAGCTCAGCAGCAGCTGTGAAGGAGAACGTTCCCCCTCACAGCTGCTGCGGAGCTGTGTCAATGACAGCCAGCAGATGCAGCAGAATAGGCCGTTTACACAAGCGTTTGCAGCTAAAGAAGGAGGCGGGGCCCGTCTAACCAACCCCGCCTCCTCTCACATCACTGGCCAGCGATCTAAGAGCAGGTGGGGCCAGTGATGTAAGAGGAGGCGGGGCCCGTCAATAGGAGGCGAAGCCCGGGGACGGAAGAGGAAGCAGGGGCCCGGCGGCGACCGCGGAGGTGGACAACGCTGACAGCTAAGAGGCGTGCAGCCCAACTGAGAACTTGCAGAGCCCACCATAGAGAGTCTATGGTGGGCTCTGCAAGTGGCAAAACTAGCAATCACGGGGCCCCATACAAAATTTTGCTATGGGGCCCTGTGATTTCTAGTTACGCCCCTGTGTACAGGCCATGATACATTAGCAATCCTGTCACTGGTGGCAACACATCAGCAACAGCACCGCAAAAGAGATCATGTACCATCTTGTACAGCGTTGGTCCATCACTGGCTGACACACTTCAGAATCTTTCTTGCCAATCAGTGAGCACAGACAGAATAAAAACCTGTGCATATGGGCTTTTGTTTGTTTTAAACCTGCTTTTCTCTGCAGACAAGTTAATAGGAAATCAAAAGCAGATTGATGCAGCTTGGAAGAAGGCCAACTGCACATTAGAAGAAGGCCAAATTCACCCGAGAAGGCATTCACCTGAGAAGGCGAGGCAAAGTATACAGCGGAACAAAATCGTTTCTAGCTGGCCAGCTCAGTATGCCTTACGTCACTGGCATTTAGCATTCTGCCATATGCTCATGGTCCCTTTTGTGACCATAAGCTTAAATCAGAAGAGTGCCCCTGACGATCCCCTGTAAAGGCAGAGTTGTCATCAGTGGCTGACAAGAGTGGAGAACAGAGGATCGGTAAATATGTGAAATATTTAGCGATCCTTCCTTGTGCAGAACAAACACAATGTGATCAGTATTGACCACTCAGTGTTTGTAAATATCTGAAGACATATGAACAGGAAGTGTTATACATCACTTCCTGTCCATTTATAACTGGGGACATAGTAATCACTTACTATTTGCTCAGTTTATGAATGGACAGAGGCACAAAGTACAAAGGCTTCCTCTCCATTTATAACTAGGGAGAGTACTATGCCTCCTCAGTTTGTGAATGAACAGGAAGCCTCTGTATGTAGTGCTCCTGTTCATTGAGGGCTGTAAAAAAAGAGATTGAGAACTCTGTGTCCCCAATCTATTTTTCTATTTGAAAAGGGAATTATCAGGGAAAATAGTTAAAAAAAGTTAAAAAAAACAAAGCATCCCACACACATACACACAACATAATGTAAACCATATTGTATTGTGGTATACATCATGCTCATGCGCTGTAGTGTGTCGTTAGAACACATTGCAGTGCCTTATTATTATTTTTATACTTTTTAAAACCACATTAATTTAACTGCGGGGTAGCGCATGGCAAAGTATTGTAATACATCGTTGTGTTGTGTGTTGCGATTAAATGTATGCCTGCATTATTTTACCACAAAACCCACCAACACAGTGCACAAACAGCACTGCATATCAGATGTTACTGTTGGAAATACAACAGCTTATGCTGATGTAATATTGTCTTTTGAGCACTAGATGGCACTGTGGTGCAAGTCTAGTGTATGCTAGTTTTTCTATGTGCATGTTTATCTATGATCTATATATTTCCTCTCTACAATGCTATATATATTCTTCTAAGCAAGTAAAACTGAGGCAAAACTGTGGCTGTGAAAAATTGCAAAAATGGTCCGGCCAGCTGAAGTTAAAAAGGGAGCGCAGGACTTGGCAACAAAAGGGTTAAAAGTATCACAAACTGATCTAAAGTGCAAGCTATCACAAACTGATCTAAAGTGAATGTATACTATATTTTCACATCGACACAAGCCCTTATATCTGGTAGTTCAGGTAACAAGGGAGAGAAGCTGTAGAAGCAGGTGAGTGCAATCCTACCAATCCTGATGCTGGTGAGTTGCCAACAATGATAAGATCACGAGTGTGGCATGGCTCTCAAGCTGCTCTTAAATCGGTTTTTCATGTACATGCAGATACAATTTTTTGTTTTTTAGAACATTACCTGGATAGAAATTGGTGGATCTGACAAAGACAACTGGCTATTCTCTGTTGCTGCAGATGGCATTGGCATTTCCTGCAATTCTTTGGAGACAAAAAAATCAGCACCCCCAACTGAAATTTTAAAGAAAAAGTATAAAGGGGAGGATAATGTATAATGTCTACAAAAAGTGAGCTGGTAGTGCATGAAGGTCACCCTAAGGCCTGGTTCACACCTAGGCGTATTGCATATGCGCGTCTGTCGCGCGTTTTTTTACCGCGATCCGCGGTAAAAAAATTGTGCGACAAACGCGCGTTTCCGAGGGCTACTTGGCAGTATCCCAATGGAAACGCGCAACAAAAACGGCCCAAAGTAGTACATGTACCTTTTCAGGCGTGGGCCGTTTTGTAGCGCGTTAGGGACGGGCTGAAATACGCCAAGGTGTGAACCAGACCCATTAAAAACAATGGGATTTTCATGTTTGAGCGTTTTGTAGAGCGTTCGTCGAGCGTAGAACGCGCTACAAAACATTCAGGTGTGAACGAGGGCTAAAGCTGGCCATATACTTTACAACCATGGCACGACTTTCATCGTGCGATGGTTGTAAAGTAATTAAAAGCTTGTACGAATCATCTTGGACAGGCAGATCGTACTTGCAATTATCGAAAGCCCGCCCCGCTGAGGGAAGGGCTTACGATGACTGCAATGCTGAGCGGGCAGTGCGGCATTTGACTGCAATGCTGAGCGGGCAGTGCGCCATTTGTCTCCCGAGAACGCCACTAACCCGCCGAAAATCGTACGATTCTCGGTGGGTTTTCAAGCGTGCTCGACAGACAAAATCTGGCGATTATTGTATGATCGCGGGATCACCCGCGATTATCACACGATAATCGGAAGGTGTATGGGCACCTTAACACAGACAGTGGCCTGACCTCATCCTACATATGGGGCCTGCTCCTGCTACAAAGCAGCAATGCAGGAGAATGTGTAAGGGCTTTGCTGTCCCCATACACATTAGATGACTGAATTAACAGTTTCTTTTTTGCACTGTATGGCTTTATACGTTAATGATGGCAGCATGCCGGCTGCCTATACTAAAATTAAGGTTTTTTTTTAACCTAATCCTCAAATTCACTAATTATGTTTGGCTGTCAAGCACATCAGTAGGATCTGTCATACAGCAAACAAGGGAGCACTGGACCGGCAGGGCATTGGGAGGGTGTCCCCGTGCCAATGGGGACAAGGGCCTCTTCCCCACAACCCTGACCCGGTGGTTGTGGGGGTCTGCAGGCAAGGGGGGTTATTTGCATTGGGGCACCCCTTTAATTAAGAGGGCACCCAGATGCCGCCCCCCCTTGTGAATGAGTAAGGGGTACTTACACCCCTACCGATTCACTAAAGGGTTAAATAAAATAGTTATTACAAAGTCCAGACTTTTGGTAGAAAACAAAGAGCCAATTTTTGACTATTCCTTTCATTTAAAAAATAAAAATGAAATAATGGCTCCATCGATGTAATCCAGCGTCAATCACGATGCACGACACCCGCCGAAATAAAAAAGTGTCCCGCCGCACGACGACCGTCCAAACCCGATGAAAACTCGCCGCAAAATGACATTCCTGCTGGAAAGTAAACAGATGGGCGGAGCGTGCCGTGACATCACGGCTCGCTCCGCCCATTTGACATTCTCAGCTGTCAAATACTACATAACATTCGGTAACTCCCGAATGCCATTCAGGTCTGTGAGCCGAGGTGTCATAATACTTTTCATATGCAACAAACAAATGAAATGTACACAAAACAAATTTTATGCCAGTGCACATGTCTAAGTGATATTAAAGCTTCAGGTTTTTTTTTCCATC